ACACTGGCAGGGAGAAGGAAGAACTCAGATAGAGCTCCCACACTCTGACTGAAGCATGCTATCAAGAAGGATGGCTCAGAAGGAGTAGTTAGATACAGTACATGAAAATAATGTCTTTATGGCTAGCCTGGAGCAGATTCTACACTATGACTTCTGTCTGGTTTTATAACTCAAGCAGAGCCAGGCTAGCAAGTAATCACAATACACCTTTAGGGAAAACACAACAGTGTATGTGGTGTTACATGATTTATTTGCTTGTTGAATCAGACCTGAACCAATTCTAAAGGAAAAGCTAAGAAAGCACCTTTGTACGAATGGTATCTAGGCCTACATTAGAGATTTCACATCCTGTTCGTCAGTGATCACAAAAGAACTCCTTTCCACTGCCTGAAGGAGTGGGAGTGTCCCTGAATACTCTGGCCTGATTCCAACTTTGTAATGGCTATCTATCGAGATGAAGACTACTATTAACTTGAGTAATTCCTATTCACCAACCCCTGATAAATTTACTTCAAACAAACATTTCTCGTAGAGTCATAGGTGTGTGTTTTTAGTCTAAACCAGAGAGAAGGCTTTCTATACTCAGGGGAAAGCTAGTGAGTGGGTAACAAAGGTAAGTTTATCTGCAGAGGAGGGCACAGAGCCTGAGGTTCAGACCTGAGTCACTCAAGAGTCCTAAGTCTCAAACTCCCATCAAGCAGAGGGTTTACTTTGTTTACAGCTGTAACCATGGTGCTATGGTCAACTAAGGGCCCATTTGCTTACACATTCATCATTTAACAAAAAATGCATCAAGTATCTTCCATGTCTTGGTCACCCGTTTGAGAAACAAGCATGAGGCATACATTGAACAATCCTTCAAGGGGCTTCTACTACAATAGAGGAAGACAAAAAGAAATGAAACTAACAAGTAACATAATTTTATAAATTGATTAGTGCTAGGAGTGATGTGGTTCCAATATTTTGAAAGGAACATTTAATATAACAATGTCCAAAGTCAAGGCCCAAGGGCCTGTCATTTAATTTGAAATACTAAAAGGTAGCAAGAAGACAACTGAAGGAGGAATTTATTACACAAAAAGGTACAGCAGAGGCCTTGAAGTTGAGAAAGTCCTGGTTTAGTCAATGATCCAAAAGGCTAGACTGTCTACTGGACGAGACATTTGAATGCTGTCAGGAAAGTAGAAACATGAACTTTCTGAAAAGATATCATCATGCCTGTGTATACCACCAGACTGTTCTAAATCACCGATCCTCAAATTGTAGCATCAAGTAGAAGCTTCTTAAAAATGCAGAACACCAGGCTCCATTTGGTTCTTCAGAGTAAGAACAGCATTTTACCAATGATTAGCTCACACGTAATAGGTTTCAAATGCTTAGCTAGCATGTTGCTCTGAGAAGTATCTGCAGAACATAGCAAACTACAGGCTATAATGAAAATGAGCATAAGGTAGTTTGAGAGTAAGTTAATAAAGCACACAAGCATATACAACAGAAATACTTTACTATGTTGTCCTATAGGGCTAGACACTTTCAATGCTTAAGTCAAGAGGGATCACAGATAATTAATCAACTTAAGCATATGAACAGAATGGATTTAAGAAAGACCAAACAGGATGCTGTCAATCACACTTATTGCTCTTAATAGAAGAGCTGTTTCAGCAATTCTTTTTATTTTTAATGTATTTTATTTTTTATGTGTACAGAGTGTTTTGTCTGCATATGTGTCTGTGTACCACACATATGCCTGGTGCCCACAGAGGCAAGAAGAGGGACTTGGATCCCTTTGAACTGTGGCCAATGGTTAAGAGGTACCATGTGAGTGTTGGGAATCAAACGTAGGCCCTCTGGAAGAGCAACCAACACTGTTAACCATTGAGTCACCTCTCCAGCCTTTGCAAATTTTTTTCAAACATCTGAATTAAAGGCCACCTCAAACACCAAACTAACAAAGGTCACTTCATTTTAATCACTTAGTTTCTTGTGCTTTATATTCTATTAATCTCTTCTTTTAAAACCTTCATTCTGGGCTGGAGAGATGGCTCAACCACTAAAGACTAGGATCACCACCAAAAATAAAAACCTTCATTCTTCCACTGTCCTAACTGCTTCATTTCAGACAGGAGACTAAGGTAGAGCATTCATGCATATTTGTGTCCATCCAAAACAAACAAGTTCTACACTATGGAAGTCCAAACGGTCTGGTACCAACATCCACAAACTACCTACTTAGATCTGTAACTGTCAATACATTGCAACTTGCAGCGTGCTGTCTGTGTGTTCAGAAACACTGTTCTCAAATACCCGAGAACAGCACACATGCGAGCTTCACTCTTAAATACCACATGTGCATTACTCATGCACGAGGACCGAGTGGAGATCACACGCTTTGCTTTGCACACCTCAGTCTCCTGCAGTGTGAGACTCACCCCAGATCCTTGTGCTTTTCCAGTCATCACAACCCTGAAACTTTAGAAAAGACAAGGAGAGTTGTTTCACAGGACGTTCTACGACGTGGACGTCTGCTTTCTTCAGTTATGTCCACACAGCATTTTGTGAGATTGTCATACACTGATGTTTTCATTACCCTCTTTGAAAGACATTTTTATTTCATTGGTATTTCTCCCAAAGAACGTGGCGCCATCTTTGTATGTATCACATGTTCAGTAAGGTAAGTGAAACGCTTGAGAGCAAGGCTAGCAGATTTCCAGGATGGTTAAGGAGGTCACTGCTGGCATCTCCTGAACAGCTCTGTATCAGACTAAACATGTTTACTGCTTTGCTTCTAGACTTTGAGAAAAGTAGTTAAGGATGTAGTTACATGGTGCCTAGTGTAGCTGGGTGGGATGAGCTGGATTGGACTGGACTGGATTGGAAGAGCTCCATTTGGATATGAGGATCCAAGTGGACCAGGGTCTCCTAATACATACAGCCCTAGCTTTTGGATGAGTCAATTGGCCTTTAAATGGGGGGTCTGTTTGACAGCACATTCATTAAAGTCAGACATCGATTTGAGGTTATTTGCTTAGAGAAGGGTAAAACCATCCTTAATTCCTACTTAATTTGCTAAATATTGTATACCGGCACAACAAAAATGACATTAAAACAGAACTATAGTATAGAAGATGGGTTATTGAAAACTGACTTCAAAATTAAAGTTGTAAGTTTACATGCAGATGAAGCTTCTTGGGTTGCAAATGAAAGCGCTCTAAACATGTCATGCCAAAGAAAGGGAGCAGCAATGTGGCTTGATTTTAGAGAATGGCTTCTACACAGGAGATCAGAAAACTTTATACATATAGCATCGGAGGACACATCTGTGTAAGTCACTCCTAATTAGGACCAGGCTTTGAATTACTGGCTGACATTTGGAGTATGTTATTTAATGCTTAAGACTACTTCCAGAAAGTGTTCTACAAAAACCAGCTCTCGGTGCTGTTTGTTATGTAAGCCGACTGCTTTAGGCCAGCGCTGCCTTCTCTTTCTATAGAAACACCAAGCTGCTGCAAGGAAAGCAGACGACACATCCTATCCAAATGCAACTGGAAATGTAGCTATGGTGCCGACAGATGTCACGTGTGGCGAGCATCTCCACACTTACATTTCATGAAGAAAAAAAGCATGGCTGTCACTGCCAGATGCCTTCTAGCTGCCAGAATTTTGGAAGGTCGGACACAAAATAAGTAAAATTGAACAAACAAGTTAAAAAAAGTATGGCTGATGAAATCTGATGTTATACCTTTTAAGTCAAGGTATGCCGTGCAATGCAACAATACAAACCTACTACACAGAATGCAAAAATAACATTTAGTATGTTGTCCCTTAAGATATACAATATTGTGCTGTGAGTTTTTCTTAAAAAAAAAAAAACCAACAGTGTAAAAAAGCTTGTGCTTCCTTTCATCAATAGAAAATTATCTGGCTAAGAGACATAGTTTTGGTTTTATGAAAGATAAATTAACCTACAGACAGCAAAAACAGCTCTTGAGCCAAAAATCCATATCAGTTTTATTCTCTATATAGTATCAGGGTTATAGATAGGCTTAACAGTGGGAAAATGCTCAATTCCATAACAAAACATGTTCCGCTGCTTCCAAACAGCTCAAGTCCTAGATGCGGTAAGACTAATGGATACCTTCTAACGAAGCTACTCTAATAGCATTTGGGGTTACCTAGGATTTCAGTTTCTCTTTATGACGGTCAAATACCCATCACCTTCACTATTTAAAATAAGAACTTTATAACTATAGTGATCACTGCAGGTATGTGGAAAATATAAGCTACTTTTGGAAGAGATGAATAAACTAGACTTCATTTAACAATCTCCTCTATTTTACAATGCCATTTTATGAAGTTACCTGTCCACATGATCATCTAAAATTGCTGACAATGAAAAGGTAAGATTTTGATAAAGACATCAGCCACAATCTTTCTCCAAGAGGTTCATTTATGATTAATATATCCATGAGTTACTGAAGTGAAATTCAGGCGGCTAGTAAAGAAGAGGGTACAGGTATCGAGTTAGTACTTCCTCATCATAAGTTGAGACAATAAAACGAGTTTTGCTGCAGGCATCTTATCAAGTTAAAAAAAAAAAGGATTATATGTTGGGTGGTGGTGGAGCATGCCTTTAGTCCCAGCACTTGGGAGGCAGAGGCATGTGGATCTCTGTGAGTTCAAGACCAGTCTAATCTCTAGAGTGAACTTCAAGACAGCAAGGACTACATAGAGAAAGCTTGTCTCAAAAAACAAACAACGAGATTCCATAAGGAAGAATATCAAAACTGTGTCCAAGACTTCTAGCTATTCATCAGTTTGCTTATTCCACAAATATGTCAAGTATTAGGAAGATTATAAATTTGGGAAAAAATTGGTTCGCCCCCCTCCCTGCCCCCAAACTGACAAGAATGTGCACATCCCTTTAAAACATTTCATCCCCTGCAATACCAAACTAGAGGAAATACCAGAAAGCATTTTCACATTCCCTACATGGTAGTTACCTGATCTTGCAATGACATTACTGGATTATTTTTGGTAGTGTTGATGTGAAGAACGTGGTATCTATTCTTTGCACACAAGTCATAGGCGATATTGGTAAAGGAGGTGCTGGCAGTTTTGGGAACTCTGTTATAAATGATGACTATATCTTCTTCTTCATCTACAGCCACATCTTGCCGAGGGCCATCCATTGTATGCCGCTGCTCAATTTCCCGGACTTCATGTCTTGCAATCGCCCTTTCTGTAAAGAAAAGGAGAGCCAAACTAAGTTCTTTACCTTTTCCTTTAAAAACAAATGTCACTATAAAAAACATACAAGTTAAAAAATGCACACCAAAATTAATCACCACACCAAAGTCTATATATCCCAATGAATGTCTACATACTTTTCATAACCATTCTTGATAGCATTACACAAATATGAACACCTAACTTTTGATTGCTATAAGGTGAGAGAAAAACATAAAAGAAAATAATGAAGAAGAAGAAGAAGAAGAAGAAGAAGAAGAAGAAGAAGAAGAAGAAGAAGAAGAAGAAGAAGAAGAAGAAGAAGAAGAAAAGAACCAAGGCATATAGGAAAGGAATACAAGCAGGCCAAGTTTTCAAGATGATAATCTAGTTGATTCTGTAACAGCTTGAGCTCAATGCACACTTTTCCTTCCTAAGAACTGAGTAAGAATGGTTGTGAAAAGACCAAACCTTCAGAACTACTTCTGCAGGATAAGAAGAGGCAAAACAAGAACAAAAGAAAATGTAGCACTGAATAGTACCCACAATTCCAATGTCACCTCATGTCCTAATGGAATGTCCACTGCCTCAAGTAATCCACACACACATAACTGACTGCGTGAGTTGTGACTGGACTGTGAAATGTTGCCCATAGCTTATGTGTTTGAACAGCCAGTGGCACTATTCTGGAAGGTTATAGAAGGTTTAGGATGTGGAACCTGGCTGAAGGAGATGAATGCGTCTCTAGTGTTTTTACAATCAGGCTCCACTTCCTGTCTCCTCTCTGCTTCCTGAGGGTAGATGCCAGTGTGGACAGTATCCTGCTATTCTGGCTGCTAAGACTTTCTGTCATGTGGACGGTGTCCCCTCAGCAATAAGGCTTTCTGTCATAGTGGACGGTGTCCCCTTCACACAGGAATACTTTCTGTCATGTGGACGGTGTCTCCTCAGCAGTAAGACTTTCAGTCATGGTGGACTGTGTCTCCTTCATACAGGAAGACTTTCTGTCATGTGGACTATGCCCCTTCATACAGGAAGACTTTCTGTCATGTGGACGGTGTCCCCTTCACACAGGAAGACTTTCTGTCAAGTGGACTGTGTCCCCTCAGCAGTAAGACTTTCAGTCATGGTGGACTGTGTCCCCTTCATACAGGAAGACTTTCTGTCAAGTGGACTGTGTCCACTCAGCAGTAAGACTTTCTGTCATGTGGACTGTGTCCCCTTCACACAGGAAGACTTTCTGTCAAGTGGACGGTGTCCTCTCAGCAATAAGGCTTTCTGTCATGTGGACTGTGTCCCCTCAGCAATAAGGCTTTCTGTCATGTGGACTGTGTCCCCTCAGCAGTAAGACTTTCTGTCATGTGGACTGTGTCCCCTTCATACATTAAGGCTTTCTGTCATGTGGACGGTGTCCTCTCATGAAGTTAAAACAAATCCTTTCCTAAGTTGCTTCTTCTTCTCAGGTGTTTGAGCACAACAACAGAAAAAGTTGTAAAAAATGTAGAAGAGAATACAATATTTCACAGATAAAATGTACTTAGAAAAGAAATTATTTTACAGAAACTTTTTTGAAATCTACTTAGGATTTAGTTACTTTCTAGTTTATTTATTAAAATTTGCCAACAGCCAGGCGTGCTAGCGTTCAGATCTAGTCACCATGTACACAGAAGTGCCCTTTCCACTGCCTTCTTCTGGCACAGACATACATGCAGGCAGAACGCCCACACATGGAGGATGAACAACAGAAACTTAAACAAGCAAACAAACAAGAACCAAAGATTCTAGAGCTGCAGTACAGTGACGAGAAACGGAAGCAGAGCCCAGGCACAAGGGACACTGTGGGGCCTGGGCTGTAATCCGACAGGGTTGCAACAGTCTAAGAAATAAACGAGAAAGAAGACAGCTAAAACTAACACCTGGCAGGAGACAGAGACATTTAGAGTTAAGAAACCCCAGATACATCCATCTGGGTCAAGACTCATCATAATTAACAAAAAACTTGAAAGCAACTAGAGAAGTTGAAGCCTTACATAAAAAAGAATGCAGACCACAGAATAGGCAGCCATAGTAACGAGAACTGAAGCTAAAAAACCTCTATCTGGAGAACATGGTTTTCAAGTACGATGAGCAAGATAACTCTCATAGGTATGAAAGGAAAATAAAATCATCGCTGATAAAGCAAACTCAAAGATTGGCTTTAAAAAGCTCTCTCAACCAAGAGCTAGGGAGGAGGCTCAAAAGCATCTGCTGTCATGGCTGAAGACAGATCTGCATTCCATGACACACACAGAAGAGAAGAAGTGACTCCTGTAAGTTGTCCTCTGACATTCATGTGCCTGTGTCTACACACAACAGTTGGCAAAAATAAATGAGGGAGGGAGGGAACTGAAAAAGAATTTAAATTGAAAAAACAATAACAGCAACAACAAAAATGAAGAGAATAAAAATATCCCTAAATACAGAGGACTTTCCTTCTCCAATTGATTTTTTGGAGACTATAAACAGCTAATCAAAAGTTGTAATACCATGGAGTACGTAGACTATCTAATGAACCCCTCAATGCCAGGACTGGAGAGAGAGTTAAAACTACGTTCTTTCACAGAGCCCAGATTCAGTTCCCAGCATTCACATGAAAGCTACGAACTGTCTGTAGTTCTAATTCCAGGGGAGCACAGCACATATGTGGGGACCAGGCATACACACAGGCAAAGTATCAGGCAAGGAAAGCCTTCCTTCAAGTTGTTGGTTAGGGGATTCCAAGAGACTAGAAAACAATATAAGCTATTGTCACTGCCCTTGGTTGCCCCCCAAACTGAAGGTAAGACCTTATTTGCTAAACACACCACACACTTTGGTCATAGCATTTGGAGAAGCGGAGCTGGACGCCTCTTCTCTGAGGACTAACCCTTATAGTATCTGAAGATGCTATGCAAGCAGAGGGAAAAGTGTAAGTCAATAGAGCTACCAGCTGTAAAGCCTATGAATACCAACAACCAGCACAGGAAGATGTGTCCAAACATGCAGTAGTGGCACTTACATCTTAGGGGTAACCAACAGCTGTCAAATTGGAAAAAGCCAACTTAGGAGGGGGAGATTCATGTCTGACACTGCAAACACAGCCAAGCACCTAGCTGAAGTCACGGCCCTTAGAGGAGAACTTACTACTGAAACTTTCCTAAACCAGTACAATTCCTAGCTGCATTCTGGATACTTATCCTTATACCTAGAGATAAGCATAGCCCTCACTTCTCATCAAAGAAGCTTCACGGAAATCCACAGCTACTCAAAGTACACAAGAGAACTGCCCAATGTCTACTGGTACATTTCTAACAATTCCCACACCCAATGGAACAATACAGAACAGCAGAAAGATTTTCAGAGCCAGAGGACCAGGGCATCTACTGTGCTATAGTGTCTTCCATATATGATAGAGAAGATGCACCTATATAAGCTAAAAAACAATGGTCACTTAAACATGGCTGCAGAATGACAGCATCAGTTGACATGCCACTGGGTATGGGGAAAATCTCCCAAATGAAGAGCTATAAGCAAGTTATGGCTGCTGAGACAACAGAATCAGTTTTCTCCAGGAATGAGCCCTGGACAGGTTATCTAATTCCATGCTGTCAGCCCTAGACACACATATGAGCAACATTAAATATACTCCATAGGTTGTGTGTGTGTGTGTGCGTGTATAAAGGAAGTTATGAATTTGATAGGGTGGAGGTGGAGGAGGGAAAGAGGAAAAGAAAGGTTGGGAATTATATATATCACTAATGTAAGAATATAAAAATTTTAAATAGAAAGTAAAAAATGGCTGGGTAGTGGCAGCACATACTTTTAATCCCAGTGCTCGGGAGGTAGAGACGAATGGATCTCTATGAGTTCCAGGCCAGCCTGATCTACAGAGTGAGTTCCAGGCAGCCAGGACTCTAAAAACCAAAAGAAAAAAAAGTAAGAAGAGAGTAAAAATATGGATAATACCTTGTCAAAATGGAAAATATAATGAACTTTCCTTCTCCTTTTGAGCTTTTGGAAGTATATTTAAGCAATGAAAGAAAAAATTGAAGCATAAAATTTGGTTCAAAATGAATACACAGCAAATACTTAACACTTGTTATAAACAAAGAAGGCCTAAATAGAACAGTGGTTTCTACACTTCCTGTGAATTTGCAAAATGGTATCAATAAAGGGAAATATGGTGTTTATATAATGAAAGACACAATTTTGAAAGAAGCTATACAAGAATACTCTAGGATAAAAGGTAACTTAAAAAAATCATAAGAATGCAGAAAACAGAAATATACAACTTTTCTGGACAAGAGTTCAGAAAGCAAAACCCAGAACAGAAAACAAAATGTCAAAAGAACTTTTAAAATTACATGTAAAGTGAATACAAATGAAACAGTGTCACTATTTGTGCTACATATAGAACAAAAGTACAGGAGAAATCTACATACAGATACGTAAGAGTAACATTAGTCAATGGAGATACAACTAAAGGGATGCTTGAAACAGCTCTGGGGAAATACAGGTAAGAAGGACAATGAAATGCCACCTGGGACTCATTGGGACAGCTACTCACGAGGAAGCTCAAGAGCTTGCTGGTCAAGACTCTAAGTGTATTTGTAATGGAAAACATTTTTGTGGTGATACATTATTTATCATTTATTAAAACTTGCCTGAAGATTCAAAAGCAAACTCAGCCACAAGCTATAGAAGCCAGGTTCACACCTTTAATCCTAGGACTCAGGATTGAGTTGGCCAGATCTCTCTGAGTTAGATTGAATCAGCCTAAAAGAGTAACAGATCACACATCTTTAATCCAGCACTAGAGGGGTATGAAAAATAGAAGCAGGGCCTTCAGTGTTCAGTAGGAGCCATTGATTCTCTAGCCACACTGAAGATAGGAAAGCTTAGTATCAAGGAGGATAAGAAGACATTGAAGTCTCAAGATTCTCTAGCCTCACTGAGGAGAGGCAGCAGTCTGAGGCCTGGTGAGAGCTCCTGGAG